CCAAAAATTAATTGCGGGATATAAATCAGTGGCCAAGAGCAAGAGAATACAAAAGGAGATGGAGATATGAGATGAAACCATTAATGACATGTGGAGAAAAGAAAAAAAATCAAAAAATAAAAAAGATGAATAGTAAAAATTTTCCTTGCGAAGGCGATATTTGAATAGTTAAATTTGAAAAATTAAAAGAATTTTCTAAATCTTTTCGTCCTTGCATAGTGGTTAGTAACGATCTTCAAAACGAATTAGATGAAAAAATAGTAGTAGTTTCTACTACTACAGAAGCAGTTAAGGAAATTCAACCATTTGAAGTTTTTGTTGATAACACTCCGGAAACTGGTTTAGAGGAACCAAGTAAGATTTTAGGTAATTATCTCCATACAGTAGATAAGAAGTTAAGGTTAACAGGAAATAAGCGAATTGGGGTAGTTAGTTCAGAAATAATGAAAAAAGTGAAAAATACTTTAAAAATAACTCTTAATTTAAGAAGTTAAAAAGTAATAATTTAAACATAATATTAAAAAAATAGTTTATGGAAGACAAAAAAAAACACTGACCTTCTACTCTTTATGTTGAAGGTCAAGACCAATTTCGCGGCTGGTTTAATTCTTCCTTGATTACTTCAGTTATCCTAACTAACCAAGCGCCTTATCAACAAGTTCTTTCGCATGGCTTTGTAGTCGACGAAAAAGGACTTAAGATGTCAAAGTCTTTGGGTAATGTTATTGACCCTGAGGAAATTATTAAAAAATTTGGTGTAGACATTTTGCATCTTTGAGTAATTAGTTCCGATTTCACCAAAGAAGTAAAAATTAGCATTCCTATCTTAGAAAAAGTTAGAGAAAGTTATCAAAAAATCCGAAATACTTTACGCTTTTTACTTGGTAATTTAGCCAATTTGTCACCAGAAGTAAAAAATGAAAAAAACTTGGAAAAAGAACTCAGTTTAGTAGACTATCATATACTTTATAAGTTAGAAAAATTAATAGCAGAAAGCCAAAAAAATTACCTTAAATATAATTTAAACCTAATCTATTCCTCTTTAATAAATTTTTGTATCAACGACTTAAGTTCTTTTTACTTTGAAATTTGCAAAGACAGTCTATATTGCGACAGTCTGAATTCATTAAGAAGAAAACAAATCACCACCACCCTTTACTATCTACTAGAGGGATTGCTAAAAATTATTTCGCCGGTTTTGCCTTACCTATCCGAGGAAGTTTACCAAAACATCCCTTTTAGTTTTGGTTTTGCCAATCAAGAAAGCATTCATTTAATAAATTGTCTTCTAAATTTTCCTCTTACTCCGGAAAAAGAAAAAAAACTAAAAATAATCACCGATTTCCTTCTTCCTTTGCGCCAAGATGCTTATCAGACCTTGGAAAAGGCTCGGCAAGAAAAAATTATTACCACTAATTTACAAGCCAATTTGACGGTTTGCTTGAAAGAGCAAGGAAAATGAAACTATTCGGAACTAAACCTTGAAGAATTATTAATAGTATCAAAAGTTGATTTTGTTGAAAAAAGAACAAATGATATGGAAGAAGGTAATTTTTGCTTAGTAAAGGTAGAAAAAACTAACAGAGAGCGTTGCCTAAGATGTTGAAATTACCGGGATTGCGAAAAAAATTTTTGTTTCCGTTGCAAAAAATTATAAAAACTGAAGTAGTTTCAAAACACTTTTGCTAATCTGAATTTAAAAAGATAATCTTGTATTTAACTTGCTTCTTTAATTTCTAGCGAACTATTGTATTGGTTAAAATAAAAATGACTATCATTCTCAATCTTATCCACATATTCATAGGAAAGAACTCACTCTTTTCTATTTAGTGCGTTCCTGTCTTTTTCCAAAGCAGCACCCAAACCTAACCTTTTTGCTTCGGGATGGTCAACATGAACTCAATGATTTTGTAAAAGATTGGTGGCAATACCATCTGGCGGAACATTATCAAAACCGATATAGTCATCTCTGACACTTCCGCTTCATAACCTTTCAACTGTTTTGGGTTTTTCTTCTTCTATTTGGCTATCATAATTCAGGTCATCGGGTCAATTTGCCAAAGGGGTTAAAGTAAAATTAGTATTGTTTTCGTCAAAAAGTCATTCATTATCTTTTAGTTTTTGGGAGGCGTCTTTTTCAGAAAAAGAAATTTTTAAAACGGGAGTAATTTTATGGGCGAATTTTTTTCCTTTTACGAGTTTGTTCTTTTTAGAAACAAGAACTATTTTTTTAGTCTTCGGTCAATCGGCGCAAAGTAGTTGTCAGTAATTTTTTTTGTTCGAACCGCCTCCATACTTCACCTCAATTTCTATTTGATTAGGATTATTGCCAGGAGGCAAAGGAGGAGTTTGATTTGGTCCTTGATTAGGATTATTATTCCCAGTTAAATCTTTAATTTCTTGCTCCAAATTAGTGATTTTTTGTTGTAGGGCTTGTTTTTCATCCGGGTTAAGTGTTCCAGCAATTAATTGAGCTTGTAGTTGAGACAATTCATTTTGCAATTGAGTAACTTTCTCAGAATAAGAAGGAGTATTGGACTGACTACTATTATTGGAACTAGATTTTTGACCTAGTAAGTAAAGTGCTCCTCCTATACTTCCTAAAGTAATAAGTCCCAAAGTAATCAGAACTATTTTAGTTATTTTTTTTTTTTTTTTTTGCATAGTTTTTCATAATTCATTAACTAATATTTTTATTCAAATAATAATTTAACATTTGAATATCAGTTGGCTTAACTCCGGCTATTCTCCTGGCTTGTCCTAAACTAACCGGTCTTATTTTATTTAACTTTTCCCGGGCTTCTTGGGCTAAATTAACGATTTTTGTGTAATCAATTCCTGCTGGGATTTTTCTAGACTCACACTTATTCAATTCTTTTACTTCCTTTTTTACTTTCTCTAACTGACACTCATATTGAATATCTGCTTCTAGTTCTCTCCGTGCTTCTCAATTTAAGCCTTTTACTTTCGGTATTCAAGGTTGAAATTCCTTTAACGGGACTTTATTATTTTTTAACAAATCATAACCACTTATTATATTTACATTTTTTCATTGACTCGTGTCTAAGCAAGGAAAATTCTGGGTTAGATTACGGTTAACCTTAAACACTAATTTTTTCAATTCTTGCCTAATCTTTTTTTGGACTTTTATTTTTTTTTTCAAGGCTATCCAATCCTCATCACTCAATAATTTTAGTTTGCGACGAGTAATTTTTCAAAGCCGAGTATAAACATTATCGTGCCTTAATAGTAAACGATGTTCAGCCAAGGAATTAAAAAGTCGGTAAGGGTCGGTAATTTCCTTGGTAGTTAAGTCATCGACTAACACTCCAATATAAGCCTCACTTCTTTTTAAGACTAATGGTTCTTTTTTTTTTAGTTTTCGGCTGGCGTTAATTCCGGCCATTAATCCTTGGGCAGCAGCTTCCTCATAGCCAGTAGTTCCATTAATTTGCCCAGCAGTGAATAAACCAGTAATTAATTTAGTTTCTAAACTAATTTTTAACTGAGTCGAATCAATTAAATCATAAGCAATATCGTAACCTCATTTTTTCACTTGAACTTTTTCTAAACCAGGCAAAGTTTTTAAAATTTGGGCTTGGATTTCGACTGGTAAAGAAGTAGAAAAACCTTGTAAATAGGTGGTGTCTAACTCTCGTGATTCTGGTTCTAAAAAAACCTGGTGCTGATTTTTATCTGGAAAACGGGATATTTTTCCCTCGATGCCGGGACAATTGCGAGGAGCCGGTCCAGTATCTTCTTTATAAGCAAAGGAAGACAAATGAAGATTATCACGAACAATTTGGTGAGTCTTTTCGTTAGTATACAACAAATAACAGGGTGATTGCTTATCAAATGGTAATAAATCAGAAATTTTGCTCTGGTGAGAAAATCTGAGCGGCAGGTCAGTTCCGGGCTCTAATTTGTAAAGAGAATAGTCAATACTATTGCTCAAAATGCGTGGACAAGTACCGGTAAGAAAACGCTTTAATTTAAATCCTAATTCTTGCAGTTGTTGAGAAATATTGTTAACCACTTTTTTTTCTCCGTCTGGTCCTTCAACTTTGATTTCATTGCCCCTATAAGTCACCGGCTGTAAATAAGTGCCAGCAGTTAATATTACCACTGAAGCATAAATAAATACCCCTTTTTTTAATTCAACTCCTTCTATTTTCCTTTTTTTGACTAACAAACTATTCACCGTCCCCTCGATAACAGTCAAATTCTCTTGTCCGCTAACGACTTTTTGCATATAACGAGCGTAGGCCACTTTATCAGATTGAACCCGAAGGGCTTGCACAGCTGGTCCATTCGAGGTATTCAATAACTTAAATTGGAGAGCGGTTGCATCCGCTGCTTTCCCCATTTCTCCTCCCAGAGCATCAATTTCTCTAACTACTATTCCCTTGGCTACTCCTCCTATTGAAGGATTACAAGGCATTAAACCAATCTTTTTTTTATCAAGTGTGATTAGAGCAACTTTATGACCTAATCGAGAACTAATTAAGGAGGCCTCAATACCAGCATGTCCTCCACCTACTACCAAAATATCAAATTTTTTTGAACCACTTTTATTGATAATATTCATTATAAATAAATTTTAAAAAAGTCATTCGAGTTTTTAAATTATCTGGTAGAAAAACTAACAATTAACCATTTAGAGGCTTAAAATCGGAATTTTAATAATAGTTAGGAATTAAAAAGAAAATTAATATTTCTAATTCCTCTGCTACTCAATTTTACTTCGCCTAATCCTCACTTTCTTTGAATGTAAATATTTTTCTCTTTCGGCCAGTCCATTTCCAACCGGAACTAATTGCCCAGCAATTAAACTTTCTTTGCTTCCTTTCAAGTAATCTACTGGCTGATACAAGGAATAATTAATTAAACTTTTTAAAGTGTTTTGAAAAGAAATTCCGGCTAAGAAAGAATCGGGTTGAGAAGCTAAATCCTTAAGGCTTGAAATAATATTTTTAAAAGAGGCAGGTTTCTTATTATTAGTCACCAATGACTGATTAATCTTTCGAAGATGTTGATAATTAACTATGTCACCGACTAAGTAATCACTATCACCACTATCTATCACCTCGACCCTGGACAACATTTGGCGAGCGAATATTTCAATATGTTTTTCATTAATATCTATTCCTTGACTGCTATATACTCTTCTAACCTCCTCCTTAATGTAATCTTGACAAATGTCACGCCCCATAATTTCTAAATACTCTCCTAAATCGACCTTTCCTGTTGTAATTTTTTCACCTTTTTTTACTTCATCTCCTTCGTTAACTTTGACTATTTTTCCCTTGTCTTTTGGATAAATAAATTCTCCTTCTTTCAAATTTTTTTGCTTAATTAAATTCTCCTCGATGCTTGTTATCTTCCCAGTTGTCTTGGCCAAAACAGCCTTTTCTCCTTTTTTTGGCTTAATATTGTCAAATATTTGCTTAACTTTTGGCAATCCCTGGGTAATGTCTTCACCTTCACCAGCTATTCCTCCTACATGAAAAGTCCTCATAGTCAACTGAGTTCCCGGCTCACCTAGAGACTGGGCAGCAATTATCCCAACGGCTTCTCCTATTGCTATTGTTTTTCCTGGTCTACTTAAATCTAATCCATAACATTTTTGACAAATCCCCTCCACTAATTCACAAGTTAAAGGAGAGCGAACTCAAACTGAAGTAATTTTGCCTTTCTTAACAATGTCGATTTCCCTTTCTAACAACAAGGTGTTACGAAATAAAATAGTCTCTTTCTTATCTAAAATATCGCGAACTAAATAACGCCCATACATTCTCTCAAAAAGAGACAATTCGCTATTTTCTTCCAATAATATGCCTGAATCAGTCTGACAATCATCAGAAATAATGACAAGATTCTGAGTTGACTCCACTAATCTCCGAGTCAAATCACCAGCAGCAGCAGTTTTTAAGGCAATATCAGTCATTCCTTTAATCGCCCCATAGACTGAAATAAAAAACTCAAAAGGCGATAATCCTTCTCAAAGACAAGAAATAATAGGAGTTTCTATAATTTCTCCTAAATAGTTAGTAGTATGTCCACGCATAGCAAAAAGCTGAGTCAAATTTTCACTACTAGCCCGTGCTCCGGAAGCCCAAATATGATAAAAAGAAGTATTAGTTTTGCCTTCCAAATCACTAATTAACTGTTTTTGCAACTCGTCTTTACATTCCTCTCAAATAGCGATTTTCTTTTGTTTGCTCTCTTCCTCAGAATAAAATCCTTGAGTATAATGATCAAGTACTTGTTTAACCTTTCTTTTTGATTGTTGAATTAGTTCTTTTTTAGAACCTATTTCCCCTAATTCAAAAGGCGAAATACTAATTCCAGAACAAGTAGCGTAATCAAAACTAACTTTTTTCAGTTGGTCAAGAAAATGAACCATTTCTTCCTGAGGGGTCACTCTTACCACTTTATTTAAAAAATTAATAATATCTTTTTTCTTTCACCCTTGTAAAGGAAGATAATTTTTTCATTTTTCTTCAACCTCATTTGCCTCGACTGCTATTTCTTTACCTTGTTCCTTTTCTTCATTATGCCACCATCCTAAATCATTTAGATAGAAAGGGAAACTAGGAGGTAAAATTTGGTTAAATCTTAATTTTCCCAAAGTGGTAAAAATAAATTCATTTTTTGCGGCAGCGAAATTTCGACCAACTAAGTTGGCCGGAATAACAATCAAGTCATGCAAACTTATTTTGCCGTATTCATAACTTCTTCACGCATTATCTATTTCATCAAAAAAGATAGGGTTTGGTTTCTTATTCTCTTTCGTTAGATAGTAAATCCCTAAAATCATATCCTGAGAAGGAACATCTATCAAAAAACCATTCTTCGGGTCAATAAGATGATGAGAGGACAGAACACGCTCCTTGATCTCTTCGCAACACTTCTTAGTTAAAGGCAAATGAATAGCTATCTGGTCTCCATCAAAATCGGCATTCAAAGGAGTAGTTATTAATGGATTGAGTTCGATGGAGTTACCATTAGTTAATTTAGGATAAAATCCTTGTATGCTAAGCCTATGGAGACTAGGAGCTCGGTTAGCCAAAACCGGGTGATTCTGGACGATTTCGTTAAGGAGAGGAAAAATGATTGGATCCTTATCCAATAACATTTTCTCAGCTTCCTTAACAGTAGAAACAATTTTTTTTTTTATTATCTTCTGAATAATAAAAGGTTTATAAAGAGTTAGGGCCATTTTTACTGGCAATCCTATTTGATCAAGAAGTAAACTAGGGTTAGGAACAATTACAGAACGAGCAGAATAATCGACTCTCTTCCCCAAAGAATAACGTCTTAGTATCCCTTCCTTTCCACTCAAATTTTGGGATAAACTTTTTATTTCATCTTTTGCATAACTCGAGCCATAGATATATCTATCAACAGCTTCTTGCAATTTTCTTTTTGCATTATGGATAATATCAACTGGAAAAACTCCCAGTTCTTTATTTGATTCAAGATAACTACTTAATCTTTCATCAGTTAAAATTATCTTTTTGAGCAGGCTATCGGTTTGAGAGGCAGCAACTGTATTCTTTTCCTTTAATTTAGTTACTGGTCGGAGACCACAAGGAATTATAGGAAGATCACTAATAATCATCCACTCCAACTTTATACCATTTTTTTGTAAAGCTTGTAGGAATCTTTTCTTTTCAATTTCAACCTTTTGCAAAATTCCCTTGCTAGAAGTTTTAATTTTTTGTAATTCCTCCTCAACGTCAACTCCCCTTAACAATTCTCGAAAAGCCTCGGTACCAGTTCAAATCTTTATCTGGCGATGCTTTTCCAAGAAATCTAAGTAATCTTCTAAAAAGACTGTATTTATTTCACTATCGTTTGGATTCTCTCTTTCAACTAAACTATCACTTAACTCTTGTGCTTGTTCAATAACCTCTTCAGTCGAACTTCCATCTTGAATAACCTCTTGCAAAATTTCTTTAATCAAGTCCAAGTCCAATTTCTTTTCCAAAATCTTTTTCTTTTTCAACAACTTAGTTAATCCGTTATCAATAACTACATAGGAGCGTAGATAAATAATATCCTCCAAATCCTTGGCAGATATCTCTAGAATTTTGCTTAAATTAGCAGCCAAATTTTTAAACAAAATGATATTAGTCACTGGTGAAACGAAAGTAAAATGACCCATTCGTCAACGCTGAATATTTTTTTCGGTTATCAAAACTTCACACCGTTCACATTGTCCTCTATTTTCCTTACCTTTATATTTACCGCAATAACATTCATAGTTAAGAAAAGGTCCAAAAATACGGGGATCGAAAAGACCACCCAATTCTGGTTTAAAGGTTCTTGCATTTATCGTCTTGCTATTAGTAATCTTAAACTTTTCATTAGCAAAGGATAATTGTTTAATTCTTTGAGGCGAAAGCCAACTAATTTTTAATGATTTTATTAAAGGCATATTTTTTTATTTCTTTTTCCTAATATTGTAACTGAAAGACTCGTAAAAATCAATTTCTCTTCCTTGATAATCAGTGGCTTGAAGATCAAAACCAATTCCACGAAGATATTGTAGCAAAAGATTGAATGACTCGCTCTGGTTGCTCTGAAGGTCGGTTTGACGGTCACCAAATATCAAATTTTTTTGCATTAAGATGCACTTATAAATATCGTCTGATTTAGGACCCATCATCTCCATTAAATTCCAGGCTGCTCCCAATGCCATTAAAACTCAACCTTCCATCTCTCCTACCCTCTGTCCACCTCTTTGGGCCCGACCTTTGAGAGGTTGTTGATAAATTAAAGAGCGAGGTCCGGTGTTCCGAGCATGGAATTTATCAGCTACCATATGGTTTACTTTAACTACATATATATAGCCATTATAAACAGGTAAGTGAAAAGGCAAACCAGTTCGACCGTCGAATAATTTGCTAGAACCATAATTTTTAATCCCAGCTTCCTTAACAATTTCCTTAATTACCTCGGTAGAAGGAGTATTAAAAGCTCGGAAGAGAAATTGGGTATTAAGTTTTCGTGCAGCCCAACCTAATATTGCCTCTAATAATTGACCAAGGTTCAGACGAGTAGGAACACCTAATGGATTGAAAATTATGTCAATAGTCTTTCCTTCTTCATCAAAAGGCATATCAGATTCTGGAACAATTTTAGCTACTACCCCTTTATTACCAAAACGAGTAGTTAATTTGTCACCAACCTCCAATTTCCTTTCGCAAAATACATAAACCTCTACTAATTCTAATTCATCTCCATCGTCGGTAAACTTTTTGGTTTTTACCTCATAAACTATTCCTTCGTCCTCTGCCGGCAAAATTAGGGAAGAATTCACAAATCTTTGAGTCTTCTTCCCCAAAATATTCAACAAAAGCATCTCCTCTTCTGTTTCCTTACCAAGAGAAGGTTCAGGAGTCTGCTTGCCCACCAAAACATCACCACCTTTTACTTTGCTACCAACCTTTACTAGACCATTTTCATCTAAATGAGGTAAAGGGGTAGAGGAATGAGGAGAAGGAGTAAAAAGTTCTGGACCATATTTGGTATTACAACGAATGACCTTGTGTTTTTTAACAAGAAGAGAAGTAAGAATATCCTCTTTTACCAATCTATCACTAACGACAATAGCATCCTCATAATTATACCCATTTCAGCATAAATAAGCTGCTCGCAAATTATAACCTAAAGCTAATTCCCCTTGATCAGCATAATTTCCGCAAGCAATCATTTGTCCCTTTTCTACTTTTTCACCCTTTTTCACCAACGGGCAAGAATAATTAAGTATGTTCTTGTTAGAAACTACTGATTGATTTAACCTATAAGTTTTTTCTTTTTTATTACTTTCTTTAATAATTATTTGGTGGCTGTCTACATACTCCACTTTTCCTTTTTCTTCGGCTTTAATAACTAAAAGAGAATTATTCAGCAAAGTGGATTCCAAACCACTCGCAACCAAAGGCGCTTCATTTTTTAACAAAGTTACTGATTGCCTCTGCATATTAGAAGACATCAACATTCTAGTAGCATCATTGTGCTGAAAAAAAGGAATAGTGGCACTAGTTACCGAGTTTAAATGATAAAAGGAACTGTCAATATAATTTACTTTTTCTTTCGGCACTTGCTTAAAATCTCCCTGATGGCGAACTAATACTTCTGCTTCTAGAATCCTATTTTTTTCATCAATTTTTATATTGCAATGGGCAATATACTTATCTCATTCTTCTTCACTTGTCAAATAATCCAAGCGCGAAGTAACTACGCCGTTTTGAACAAAATAACATGAATGAACTACTTGTCCATAATTGTTTATCTCAGCTCCAATAGTCAAATTATGAATCAAACCAATTTTTTGCCCTTCTGGAGTTTCTACCAAATCGTAGCGACCATAATAAGAGGAATTAATGTTACGAGCATTCAAAGTAGTGTTAGTTCCAAACCCCCCCAATCCTAAAACACTTAACTTTCGAGAATAAGAGATTTCTGACAATGGATTATTTTGGTTTTGCAGTTGAACCAAAGGAGAACTATTAAAAAAGATCTTCTGTAAATTTTCAAAAATATTATTTGTCGAACGAAGGTCTAAATCAGGGATCCTTGCCAAATCGACTTTTTTTAACTGAGAAAGATAATTAGTAACATAAGCGTTGCCGAGATTTTGTAAAAACCCACCTAATTTACTCTCAAACAAACTGTAAATTAAATCCCCTACTCTGCGAACAATCTGATTTTCTAAATTGTCTTTTTCTTCTTCCTTTTCTACCCTGCCCAAACCATAATGCAAATTGACGTAACTGGAAACAGCACAAATTAAATCAGCCAAATCAAAGTAAGTTTTTTCTTCTGGCAAATCTTCCGCTATACCAACAACATACAAAATTTTCACTGGATTTTGCGGTGACTTTATTTTAATAAGGTACAGTTCATTCGTAGAATGAGGAAGAATGATAGCAGGTATTTTTTTTTCTTCCAGGGATTTTTTTAATATTTGAAGATTTTTGCCAGTCAAAACGGTATTTTTTTTTAAAATTAATTTTTGGTTGCTGTCATACAAATCACTGGCTAATGTTTGATCTTCTATTTGCCGAAAAATATTAGTCTTTTGATTGTACTTTTTTCGTCCTAACTTTCCTAAATCGAAATAAGAGTTTTTTTTAATAAATAAGAAGCGGAATAACGGATGGCTAATTCCTAATTTTAGTGGTTTAGCCTCTTGATAATCTTCAATATTCAATTCCTCATTATCAAAAATTTTTTCTAAAAGTTCTGGAGAAACATCAAAAGTCCTGAAAATATCAAGCAAACCGATAACTGTCTTAGAATTAAGAAATTTCAATTCGATACTCCGCGGATTTTTAGCACCACGATAAATACTGATTCAGGGACCTTTAAAAGGAATAACTTCACTATAAAGACTGTTTTTTTCATCGTAAAAAAAATAAATTGACGGTGCGCGAACTGACTGAAAAACAACTACCTTATCATGGCCATTAATAACAAAACTTCCTTGTCGGGTTATTTTTGGCAAAGTGCAAAAATCTACCCTCTGATCCTGTTCACAATGGAATTTTGCAATTAATTTATCTCCTTCTTCCCCTAATTCTTCCAAAATAATTTTTAAATTTCCTCCAACCTCTTTTATCTCTCACTTTTTAGAGGACTTTTCTTTACAAGTAAATTTTTTTACTTTAAAACTTTCCTTAATCCATTGGTCAATACTCTTTTTTAAGTCGTTATCCAGCAATTGAACCTGGATTTTGCGACAATTTCAAGAAACTTTTCAATTAAAAGAAACCGAATAACTCCAAGTAGAAGAATTAGCCCTTGCCTCTTCTTCGCTGTTAGATTCCTGATACTTTATTTCACTGGCATTTATCCAGACATCATTGTTGTAATCACTGAACTCAAATGGAAAATAAAAAGAAAATAGTTTTGGCAATTTTTGATCAAGAAAATATTGATAGGATGCCTTTTGTTCCTGAGCAAAATCTCGCTCCGGAAGAGTTTGAAAAAGTGGTGAACGATTAGCAGCTAAATATTCGCGACGCTGATTTTTTCCCGATTTAATTATTCGATATGACATTAATTAAACTAACTAAAATTATTTAATTTCAACTTGCACCTTTGCCCCCAAATCTTCTAGGCGCTTTTTAATCCCTTTTTCACCTTCCACTTTATCACGGGGAACATTCTCAAAAATAATTTTGTCTTCTCTTTTAGTCAGTCCCATAGCCTGAACATTAGTAATCTCTTCACCTTTTTCTTCTTTGTGAATTTTAGCAATTTCTTTTCAAACTTTAATTTTTTGTTCTCCTATTTCCACCAACTTTATAGAAACTTTACCTCCGCTTTCTTGACTAGTTTTTTCACTTGCTGCCGCCGGAGCAGCAGATGATTGAACTATTGCTGTTTCTTGAATATTAAGTTTTTTCTTTATTCACCCTATTAATTCACTTATCTTTCCTACATTCCACTTTACAATCTTTTCCCCTACTTCACTTACTTCTTTACTAACTTCTGCTTCTTTTTCTAATGTATTTTTTTCTGTTTCTGGCATATTTATATTTAATTTATTGATTTTCTTCTCTGAATGATTTAACTTTTTCTAAGATATTAATAAGCCTCATGGTATGAAAATTAAGATAATAACACAAAGTACTTATTAATACCTCTTTGCTTGGTAAATTAGCCCATTTTTCCAGCAAAGTATTTTCTACTCACCGTTGCTCATAGATGCCACCTTGAAAACGCTTAATGCTAGAATTCTCCTTACTAAAATGGTTAAGAACACTTAGCGGTTTATATTCATCCTCACGACAGAAAATAAGGGCATTGGCTTGCTGTAAATCTAAAGAGTAATCTGGCAATGCTTTTTCCACTAAACTATTTTTATAGACTTTTCAATAACCTCCGACTTTTTTTAATTCTTTTTTAAGGTGAAAAATATCCCTATTTTCAGCGTGGTGAAAATTGTAAAAAATAATTGCTTTAGCCTGCTGAAAATCATTTTTAATATTTTGAACAATTGCTCGCTTTTGACTTTTAGCAGACATATATATATTATTATTTTAGGAGAATTGATTGGATAGTTAACATGCTTTTTTATCAAAAATAAGTGATTTCTAGGCAAAAATTATTGTTGTCTAACTTTAAAATTTTATATTTCTATTGCTAACTCCAACCCTAATTGTAAATTTTTCCTCCCTTTACGACAAGTATAAAATTTGAATGATTTTTTATTCTTCAATTTCCTTCTTTTGAGAAACTGCTATTCATATTAAACTTACTACCATTGCTATCACTGCTACACCAGAAACTCACAATCAAGGATTATTCATTCTGAAGAAGGAGTTATTATTATCTTGGTTATTATTATTATTTTGAGATAATTG